CAGAGAAGTTGTGGATGCCCCATCTCTGGAGTGTTCAAGGCCAGGTTGGATGAGGCTTTGGGCAACCTGGTGTAGTGGAGGATTTCCCTGCCCATGGCAGGGGGGTTGGAACTGGATGATCTTTGAGGTCCCTTCCAACCCTAACCATTCTATGATTCTATGAAATAGTTGTATTCAGAGAAACTGTTTTTAATACAGAATTATAAAGCAAGACTCTTCAAAGCTGTTCAACACTGTTAGTTCTGCTAAGTGCTCTGGTTTCATTTCTGTGTTTCCAGTAACTCTACTTATTTTGTGGTAGAAAGTTCTGTAACTTCCTGAGCCATATCAAAACATTCAGTGTGTGTGCCTTGCCCTCATCGTTACTGCAGGGTGCCATGAAGTTTAATCTGAGCTTAGCTGAACCTTCAGTGAAAAAGGGGTAAATAAATTCGTATTTACCATCAGATAACGGCATGGTCATTGATAGTTGTTGCAGAGCAACTAATATATGGTATCAGATCTCATAGGATGAATTGTTGGTGTGTTGAAAGCCCTTTTTAAGAGAGTGTAGAGATCTTTAATATGTTCATTACTGTCTTTTTGTTGGTTTTTCATTGTGACTCAGCTTCCTAATGGTATTGTGAATTGGACGGAGCTCTCCCAACACAAACAGTTTTATTTCTTTGTTTACCACAGTTGTTACAGACAAAGGGCCCCTGCCTCTGTAGCAACATCCCGAAGAAACCGTAGATCAGACTGAGACGTGTCGTACCTCTGTCTCTGTTTGCCTGGCAAGTTTAAGACTGAAACTCGTTTAAGACTGATTTCATTCTCTGTGTGTGGAAGGTTATTGGCTCTTTTGTGCTTTAACTTAATCAACCTATTGTGGCATACCATCGTAAAAGTTGACATTACAGCAAGTAAGGTACTTGTAAGGAGATTTACTGGAAAGTCAAATATATAAAAATGCTGTTTAGAATGGTAAAGAGGGCAATTTAAAGAAATACTGTCTTTGTGTGTAACTAATCCAGACTTTTATGTCATGCTCTCTCATGGACAAATATCTTTCCGATTTAGTTTTGACTGGAATGATGGCCTGTTTGATGTGACCTGGAGTGAGAATAACGAACATGTGTTGATCACTTCCAGCGGAGATGGATCTCTGCAAATCTGGGATACAGCTAAAACCAAAGGTCCCCTGCAAGTCTATAAAGAGCACACTCAGGAGGTAAACCAGGCAAACTTGAAAGATTTAATGGACAATCTAACATTTGAGTTATTAAAAGTTCTATTTGTGGACTTAGAATCAAAAGTGGGTTTTGTTGTCTATTTTTTAATTTTGTTTGGGTCCATGCTTTAAATTTATAACTTAACATTATTTTGAGTATAAAGTCATTTACCTGTTGTACATATTCGTATGTACATTCGTTGGCTGTAATAGATAGTGTTTAATTACCTAAATCTAATATATTCAGAAATATCATTTGTGGTTTCTTATAGGCTAAGTAATCATTGTGTTGTATGAAAGTACTGCAGTCATTCTGGGATTTTTAGAAAGCGTTATTGGATAGGTCTAAATCAGACAGCTGATGTGTATAGTGGTGTTATCCTTGAGGATATGGAGTGATACACATCATGCAGATCCTTAGGACTTCTCTTGTACTGCTTATCGTTTTCCATCCTAGCACCTGTGAGATCCTACTCAAATAACAGCAGTCAAACACTGGGATAGCATGGACTTTTTTAGCCTTGATTTGATACCATTGCATTTGATTTTCTTAAAATCTCAGTTTCTTTATGCAGTGCAGTGTGGGTAGAGAAAAATGTTATATTCGTGTTCTTAAATATGTTTGCATATTTTAAGGACATTTATGCTTTAGTATATTTATTTTCCCCAAGTAATTTTCTCTGTCTTTCCTCCCCCCCCCCCCCCTTATCTTCATTCATTTCTGTCAAGGCTTTGAACTTTAGATGCAATCAGTTTTAGCCTGGATTACTGCCACTTTGTCTAAATGACGTAAATCTGAATAAAACAACCTAGTGGATATGTAGTCGATAAAAAATGATGGAGGGAATCCAGTTTTGTACTCTCAAAGACCTCAAGATTTTTTCAGATGCGAAGCACAAAGCTAAAAGCTGAGTGACTGCCCTTACTCTGTTACTCTCAGTTACACACAGTCTTCTGTACCTTATTTCTTTGTAATTTTGTTACTGTGGTTTAACACGTATACTATGTAAATAATTTCGAGAGGTGAGTTTGTAGTTGTGATCAGGATTTAATGGTAGCATTCAAAGGCTGATGGTAGTAATAGGAAGATGGAGGCAAAGCATAATACCAAATTTTTTTTTTTTCTCTGTCATTTTCTCATTGAAATTCTGTCCATAAGTTTATTTTGGTTCTGCTACACCATCTGTTGTTTGGGAAGTAAACGTTTCTGTGTCCAAGTCTTAGTTTAGCAGGTAGCATGGGGAGGTGGACGCATTCAACCATGAGTTAGCAAGACACTATGGGAAGCACGGGCTGAGTGTTTACTGTGAGATACAAAAGGTTTGTATGGATTCTTTATAAAAGGGCATTAGGAGAGTAGATCTCAGAGGGAATATGCCTAATAGTTTGTGGTAAACACTGGCAGACAATGCTCTTTAAAATGATTGACTACCTTCCTAATCCTTAATCCCTGTCTGACGTTTCTAATGACAGTTTTGTTGCTGCATTTTGTAATATTTCTAATGCAAGATTGACAGGGATCTGTTTCGTTTTCCAAATGAGATCATTTTCCCTCCTCAAAAAGAATGTGCGTTTTTAATTTAAAACCGCGTCTTTATTGTCAAAGGACAATGAGTTTTATTCCAGCACTAACCAACTGCTGAATTTCATGAATATATTAGTCTAATTTACTTTGGTTTTGATGAAGTCTCACTGGAATGTGACACAATAGAACGCTTGAATTAAGTTAGTCTTGTAAAGTGAGCCTGAACGTTTATTTTGAACTATTTTTTATGTTTTTACATCTTTTTTCGTCATCTTTTCATCTTGCTTGGAGCACTTCTTGCTGCTGTTTAGACATAAACTAGTGTTAATGTATTTTAATGATTAAAGACAAGGCACTAAAAGATTAACAACTAAGGTATGAGCTGTGTCTTTTCCAGTCGCTCAACACAGCTTCTGTTGAAGCGTCTGTAAATTTATGTTGGAAAATAGCATGAAAAGGAAAGAAGAATAAAAGTGAACCTTACTTAGTTCTCTACACCTTCTTTTCATTCTCTTCCCATTACCTGGACCTGTCAAATGCCAAATGGAAAATAGCTCTTGCTTTTTCTACGCCCATTGTCTGTTCTGTTTGTAATTCTTGCCCAAAGGAGAATTTGCCCAGGTCCCATGGCCTCCGATGCAGCTGCAGAGTGCTGGGCAGCCCCAGCCGTGTCTGCCATATGTACCCAGATCCGTGTCCCAGCATGTGTCCAGCAGATCCGTGTGCTGACAGCTCGTGAGTGAGCTGGGAGCCACGTATGCACTGGCTGTGCAGTAGATCTGGTAGATCCCGAATATGTGGGGCCAGGTGAATTCTGTGACTCCGGCACGTGTTTCTGAGAGACCTGTTTCTTTCTGGGAAATCTTGGATGTGAATGTGAGACCCAAACACTTGGAGCTGACTTCATAGGGCTGTTGCGTGAAAGAGGCGTGCTGCGTAGTGATGCACATAGGGGCATTTCTAAACAGCAGCAGCTTAGGAGTTGAACACAGGACATCACAGAGATTCAGGGATAATGTTTGTGAGAAGCTCTGGAGCCACTTTGGAGAACCCTGATATCTTCCATTCTTAAAATATGAGCAGCTACTTGTGAGTCTCCTTTGTTACTATTTTAATAGGAGGAATCAGGTTGAAAGGAAAGGTGTTTTAATGAGCCGTGGTACGGGTGGTTAGCTGACAAAAGTAGAAAAGCCAAGAGGTAAAGGCACGGTTTGCAAAAACAAACAAAATAATTACCTCTCAGTTTGTTATTTGGCTTTTGTCAAGTACTATCTGAGCATCTTGTACATTCGACTTATAAGCATCTATTTATTTATTTTTATTTCTATATTTTATTTATAAGGAAAGCAACTAGCACAAAATGGTGCCAGAACAATATGACTTTCAGTATATGGGAAGCAGGACATTGTAAGATAAAAAAGGAAAGTTGCAGGTAATGCACTTTGTTTTTCTGTGGGCAGTGGTTGCCTTCCACTTGCGGGAAATAAGCAAATAGATGAAAACCAGTTAATTTAAGCAGGATCTAGCATAGGCTGAAATATTTCTTAAGAAGGAAAATGCTCCGAAGTAGCTAAATGATACCTCAGTATACTTTCTCATGCAGGACACTTTCCATAGAAGACTTTGGCTTTTGCTGTTTTTTTTTTTTCACGTCCAGCTTCTCTGCTTTTTTGTCTGGCGACACGAGTCCAAACATTTTCACCTTCAAAACAGGGTTTCTATCATTTAATGCACAATTCCATCTGTCCAAGACAGACACAGCATCTAGTGTTTTGACTTGCAGATTAGATCCAGTGCTGTGCTAGAACTGGGTTGTCCCAGCTGGAGTACAGTTCCTTGGTGGTTAGTGGCCCGACTGTTGAGAGCATGTGCCACCTACCACTAGTAGGTAGTGGCCATGTTTCTGAGAGGTGTCGTGGAAGGTCTGACTGGGTCAGGAGGTGGAGCAAATAAACTGTTTCAGCTCATATTTATCCACCTTAGCTCCGAAATGGTTCATGCCTCACTGCAGCTTGTAGAGCCATTTTGATGTGAGGTAGAAACTAGAGGAATGGAACGTACCTTCTGTTACGTAGATAAAGATACGGTGCATTCGAAGATGGAAGCTGTGCATGTTCTTGAGACTTTCAGATTTGAAGTAATTTGAAGTGTTTAGAGTGAGTGTCTAAGTTACGTTAGTGTTTGTTTTCCCTAAGGCAGCAGAGCTGAAAAACCAGCAGTGAAGGACGGAGTTAGGGTATCCTTTGTCAAGGCGGGGACCAACGCTAGAGCAAACTGTCAGAGAAGAGGGAGATTATTTCAACTACACAGTGAAAAGCAATTTCTTAATAGCTGGCACGATTAGTCATGAGGGAAGTTGAGTTTTTTTATTTTATTTGTTTGAGGATATGAATGGTAAAAAAAAAGAGTGTCATAGAACCTGGGGAAGATGAAAATCAAGAGTATTTTATGGCATGTATTTCTTAGGAGAATTAGATATCATAAAAAAGCATTTATTGTTAGCTAAAACATCAACGTCAACTTCATAGTCAGCTCTGAAGAGAGCTGGCATTTACATTGCTAGCAATTAGAAACTGTAGATATTTGAATAAAATTGGATCAGAGATAAGAAATCAGTCTGAATTATGGCTTTTAACAGTGGTAGAAACTTCTAGAGGTGGTGGATCTATGTGGATTTTGTTACAACTTTTTTTTTTCCTCCTTCTTTTTGGCCCATTTTTACTTTTTTGTATACTTTTCTGAGCCTATATGTACCTTTAATGCCAGACTGACATGTTAAATTTAATTTTTGTTTAGATAAATGGCCTTCCTGGCAGCTTTGTGGTGCGCGGCTGGTGTGGTTTTTTAGCTAATTATGATACAATCTGCAAATCCAAGTCTGTTCTGTGAAACTTTGGCGAACTAGAGTCTCAAACTTGTATTCTAATGCTCTTTCTAAACTAGACTGTTATATCATTTATAGGCATATAGTGTTGACTGGAGCCAAACTAGAGGAGAGCAGCTAGTGGTGTCTGGTTCATGGGATCAAACAGCCAAGCTGGTATGTTGGTTTTCTGCTGAAGGTGAAAAATGTGATTCATTTTGGATCTGATAGTTCTTTGTGTTAAGAAACAGCATTGATTCACTTTTCCTCTTTATTTTTACACTGAGGCTGAAATTCTGTTTTAACTGAGATACTGCTTTATCCCTCAGCTGACATCAGTTTAAATATACAAGTGCTTTTTGTGATACATGGTAAAAAGAAGTTCATTTAGTCCTTCCTGTATGTATAGAACATTTTTATGTATAAAATTCTTTCCTTTCTTATTGAATGTGTACCTCAACAGTTTTCTTTTTACTTTATTCAGTGGGATCCAGCTGTGGGGAAGTCATTATGCACTTTTAAAGGCCACGAAGGGGTCATTTACAGCACTATATGGTCTCCACACATCCCAGGTTGTTTTGCATCTGCCTCAGGTAAACATGATGGTAAAGGGGTTCTCACAGCAAAAAACCCTTGTGCGTTATCGGATTAGTTCAGCACTTTGTCCAGCAGATGGTAGTGTGTGTCACACATAAAAATGGAAGAAGGAAAGATAAAGGTATTGGTGCAGCTGGATTTGTAGGTTCTGTTAACGATCCGTAAATCGTCCTCTTGGCCGTTTAAACAGGGATCAGCAGTTTTCTGGCAGTCACTTCAGTGACCTTGTGGCGATTTTTTCTGTTATTCTATGTAGCTCGCTTCCATTCACCTCACTCTTGTTATTGACCACTAAATCATATTACATGCTTTATTTTGTGTTCTGGCTTACGTTTTTGTTCAAACTATCTCAAATGTCAGTAGACTGCTAGCTCTGTGAGAAACATATTCTGTTCCCATTGAACCGTTTTAAATACTGCTGGAGATCTCTGTGCCTGGTTCTTTGGGAAAGGTAATCATCAATTTTACTTTTCTGCTTTGGCCAGTGCTGTGAATCTTGCTGGTCAATACAATATAATTGAGTTGGTTGTACCTAGAGGCAAAGAGGCTGTATGTTTTCCAAACACTGCTCCTGCTCCAGAGGCACAAGGAGAGCTCTGGAGTGAGACCTGGTGCCTCAGTGCTGACTAACTGGGCGAGGGGTGCTCTGAGCCATGGAGTTTGCTTGGGAAACAGAGGGGCAGTAAGATGCTGCCTTCATACAAATATTGGTAGATTAACTTCAGTGGCTTAAATTTCTCTGATTTCAAGTCTGTTGGACTTCTGCACTGATTTAAATAGAAATTTTTTTAACTTACATCAAGAGGGTAAGCAAGCATAAATATGTTTTCCTGTTACTGAAGTTAAAGAGAGAGTGAGTACACACAGCTGCTGGTCTTCCCTATTCCATGGGAAGTTTTGTGAAAAAGTGCACATGGCTTTCACAAAATTTTGGTTTGCCTGTTTCCATCTGACTCTGCTTGCAGAGTTGAACTAGAATGACTAAGAAGATACATGTGTTTGTTCTTATGTAGTAGTGCTTGGAAGCCAGATGTTGGTGCGCAGATGTTTCCAACTTATTTGAAGACTGGTTACAGTAACCCTTAGTGAGGTACTTATTTAATAGGATGCACAGAAACTTACAGGATTGAGCCCTGCATGCTGTATGAATGGTTCTACTGAAGTACAGTTATATGCTACAAAATACTAGTTAAGTACCATTTGGTCAAAGGTAAGTGAAGAAAATAGTGCTTAGTGGTTTTTTGCAAATTCTAGGGAACGTTGTGATCTCTTTAAAGTCCTGCACAGAAGCCTCCCCTTCATCGTAGTCTTACTCATACAAAATTTCTGACATTCTAGATGAACAAAGGGGTCTTACTGATCCAGCTAGTTTTCAATATTTCAGATTTGATTCTCTAGGCTATGAAGCCAAACTCTCTTCTAATATGTTGCCACTTGAACAATTTTGGGAAACATTTATTATTGTATGCCTATGTGGTAGCACTTAGATTGGGTACAGCAATACAGTTGATCTGTTGTTTAAGTGACTCAGTGGGTGCAGCTGTTGGGAATTTTGACTAAAACACTGAAGAGTTCCTATTCTTTTGTGAATTTTACTTTGACTCATGAAAGGGACTAACATATACTGCTGGAGCCTGAAGCTAATTGTGGGCAATTGTCACTGATTGATGACTCTGTAGTGTTTTATGGGAAAAACAACATGCACAAAAGACGCAATATTTTTCTTCTGTAAGTACTACTCAGGTGTGAAATAAAAATCTTATTGTGTAATGCTAGGTGTAAAATCATTAGGTAAGAGAAAGCGAAGTCTTCAAAATGATGGTGAACTTTCTTATGGTTTCTGAAATAAAATATCTGGTGTGCTTCTAAATGGAATAACTTGAAACCAAAGATCTTACACAGAAGTCATGACATGCCGATATGGAAAAGGTTTCCTTGTTTGCTTTTGGTTTTAGTTTACGTTGGAATTTGCCTATAGTTTGATTAGATTAGTTCACTTTTTTCCTTTGGTCAGCAGGACCGTGGGTAGTAGAAGTACTCATGACCCTCTAGCTCTGGATATAAGTGCCATTTCCTTATTGTAAGAAAGGCATAGCAGATAATTTATCTTCAGAGAGTTTACTTCACTGTTTAGTGTTTAATGGCATTCTGTTCTGTCAGTCAAGATATGTGATCAAAGTCAAGTAGAACTGTTCAGGAGGCTGGACCTCCTCATTTGAAACTTGCTATGATCCACACACTTCATAAAGATGACAGAAAATTATGGGACAGACAGCTGAATTTCACTGATGACTGATCTTCTATTGAGATAAAATTTTGGAGCTGAAGGAAAAACTGCAATCTCAACATGATAGTACTATGTCAAATTTACTTCCTTTCTTTGATATACTTACTGGAAGGGTTGACCTAAAGTTTTGCCGTCTCTTCTTTTGCAATTTTGTATTATCTTGAAAACTGAGCACTGAAAATGCATCTGGAGGGAAAGATTTTGTACTTCTTTCCATCTCCCTTGTTTTTTTCACTTTTTAGAACAATAGCTTGTTGAAGGGTAGGAAAACATTCCCTTTTTGAAGGAGGCTGCATTGCCTTAGGATTGTAGTGCGTGTATGTTCTTTCTGTCATCCCACCTCACACATACCTACTCACAATCACGTACTTATTCACATCGTAATAGTATAAAGTCTTAGCACTTCAGATCAGAAATTAGCTGTTTCATGTTGCAGCATCTTCAATTTTGCATGTGTTACTAAAATAAGTTAGGAATGATTTTAACTATAGATGGGGAAAAATACTGGTCTTGAAATGGTTCCAATTTAACTAAATTCAAGTAAAGCAATGCACTCTTTTTTTAAAAAATAATATTTTTTAATTATTATTTGAAAGAAGATAAGCAAGAGGGAAGGAGATTTAGGAACCTTTCGCATGCCTCACCCCTGCCATTTTTCTGCCTTTATTTGAATCCACACAGATACTAGCAGAAGTTTAATTTCCACTTAACTAATTAGTTTGTAAACCCTGAAAACAGAAAACCAAACAAAACTGCAAGCCACATTAAAATAGCTACTCAGAAGGACTATTATGTGCCTAGACAACTTTTGCATGAAGCTAATAAGGTTAAATCTTTGCTTTTGGAATATGACTTTTTCTCAAACTATTATGAGACTAGGTAAAGAATCAGAGTGAAGAAAATGAGAAACCTAAGAGTGCAATATAAAGCAGTTGAAAAAGAATTTGATACTAAGTGTGGTTATTTTGCTTCATTAAGTCTCTGATCTGAATATATACAGGAAAACTGAGTTTGTCTGCAGTGGACAATGAATCATAGAATCATAGAATGGTTAGGGCTGGAAGGGACCTTCAAAGGTCATCTAGTCCAACCCCCCTGCAAGGAACAGGGATATCTCCAACTAGATCAGGTTGCTCAGGGCCTCGTCCAACCTGGCCTTGAACGTCTCCAGGGATGAAGCATCCACCACCTCTCTGGGCAACCTGTTCCAGTGTTCTACAACTCTCATGGTAAAAAATTTTTTCCTAATATCCAACCTGAATCTACCTCCCTCTATTTTAAAACCATTACCCCTTGTCCTATCACAACTGGCCCTCCTGAACAGCCTCTCCCCATCTTGCTCCCATGAAGAGCAATTGAATGACAGAAGATAAATACGTCTGATGCTTCAGTTAGATTAGCTTTTATTCAGCATCTAATACGCTTCCATTGAACATTTACAGGGATGTGTGAGGTACTTTACCACTGTAAAGTCTGACTGTTGTCTTCATGTACAGTCATTTGTACTTTCAAAAAGCAAGTAATGGCTTATCTTTTTTTGTTTGGAATTGAGAGTTAGTAGTAACAGAACAGACTCTTGTTTCTGTATAGGTAAATAATTGCTGTTGTGATGTCAGTAACAATTTCTGAGCTGATAAGATAAGCAGAATGTTCAGGTGTACGTGCAGCATCAAACCAGAGCCCTGGTAAATGTCTGCCTTACACTGAAAAAACAGTTATGTGGAAAATGTCATTAAAGAAGTGACATAAATGTTTAACAGCATCTTTATAGCTAAAAGAGTTTAATGAGTCATTGTGCCTTTTGCCCAGGTGGTGTCTGGGTTTTTTTTCTTTCTTTTTTTTTTTTTTTTTTTTTCATCCAGAAAGCAAGTTGGTGAGGAGCACATGAAGAAAGTGCCAAATGCACACAACGTTAGTATGTAGTCAAACATAAATCAGTTCTTCTAAATGATTTTTCATAACTGCAGAGCAATAGGCCTTGCTCGATCCTGCAGCTTGTAAAAAAAGCTTCTTTTACAGTATCAGCTGTTTTCACTGTATTTTAAATTTAACATTGGGAAGTAATGAGTACCATTTTACCCTTATCTGCCTAACCGTAGTATTCTTTGATACAGATATGACACTGGCAAATGAAAATAGGAATGTTTTGGATTCGACAAAGCCCAGATTTAGAATGACTGCTAGCTTTTGTCTTAGCTACTGGGACCTCAGTTTTAATGCTGCATTCGTTTTTAAATCATTACTACACTCCTTAAGTTTACTCATCAGGGCAGATACATAGTTCTCATTACATCTTAAACAAATCATAAATAAGGGAAAAAAGTGTTTCTTAAATCTGCAAGATAATGTCTGTATTCATCAATATTTAGATCAATTAATTGTATTCTTTGCTCAAAGACTTATTTTTCAGACTGAAAGCCCAGGGCGAAAAATTTTATCATACCACAAGGTGTGATCATTTCTGAGAAATTTTTATTATATTGACAAAAGCGTTGGGGAGCTGTAGCTTTGCTGGTTTAAAAATGAACTTGAAAATCCAGCCTCCACTCTTTGTAAGCCCTTGCATTCAGTGCCAGACTTTAAGGTTAGAATTAAAAAGCATTATCTCGTATTCTGTTTTATTGCCAGCCCTGACGTAGTGAGTTGCCTTTTAAAAAGTTTGTCTTCTTGCCTAGTGGTCTCTTTGTGACAACTATGTATCATTAATAT